CGGGGGTCCTTGTGGTTCTCCCCATACAATTCTGAATAAAGTAGATGCATTTCCTGCATTCTGGTGTATTTTAACGGGTTGTTAAACATCTATGTTTACCTACATAAGTAAACATTTGATTCAATAACTGTTTTAGAGACAACGGCTCTCCATGTGTCGGTCCACTTCTCTCACACATCCTACCCAAACCCACCTGCCCCCCCCCCCCCCGGTCAACAACTGCTAGCACTAACGTAACGCTACGCTAGCGTGCAACACAGAGGTGTCTCCCCCTCCTCTCCCCACCTCCTCCACAAATATCCCCCAAAGAGATGAGCGTCCTGCCAAGGCAGGTGACCTCGGGGAAACACTGCATGTCGTGAGGTGTAGGTAACCAGGAAAACCCGGAGTGGACTTTTACTGGTTTGAGTATTTTCCTATTAATCAAGTGGAATGGATTTGTTCACAAAGAAATAGAAACAGCTCTGGGTGAACTAATATTTCATGGTAAATGTGTGTGTGTGTGTGTGTGGGGACAAATATTTTTCAAATGTGAGGGGGCCACGTCCCCTTCACGTATAATTGATGCTACGCCTATGCAGGAATGGCAGATTGACAGCCTTTTAAAAGTGGCCAGTATAAGCCAATAAAAACTGGTCTGTCGTTAATGCAAATGATGCTTCATAGACAAATACAGGCATAACCAGAGATTAAGTTATTGTAGATGCTGTTCATGTCTCATAGAGTCTTAGTTTGATGTAAGATTTGCAGTAGAGACTGCTTTATGGATTTTGTAAATAGAAATCTGCACAAAATTGACTAAATATAAATTTTTAATGTAAAAAAAAAAGTAATTTGAAAGTTTGCCAAAGTCGTTCTTTAAATACTGAGCTTCTACTCAAATCGCTGTCAGTTTTGTAACTATGCTGTTGAACTGAATGGCAAGAGGCCTTTATGATCTGTGTAGTATGTGAATGATTAACTGTGGACATAAGAACTTTATTGATCCCGCAGGAAACTGTTGTGACATGATGTAAAAATGGAAATGTCACTTGATTTGAAAACCAGACTATTATTTTTAATCTGCTGCCTAGTCTCAAAGAAGATACATTCTATGTTTAAGAAAATAATATACAGTATAAGGAAATCAAAGTTTATTTCATCTCCTCTCTTCTTGAGGGGTTGCCACAGCGAGCAAACTCCTATGAAAGATTTGTCAATTGTTTTATGCTGATTGCCTTTCGTGGCACACCCTGGACTTGAACTTGCAAACTCAGGTTGTGCTACCAAACAGCTACTTCCTAATCCTAAGAAAATAATATGCTTTACTGTGTGGGCTAACTGAGTTAGGAGACAAAAGTCAGGCTGAAGTTATGTAGCTGCATCCTCTCTGCCATGTAGACATGTGTCCACTCATCCAACAGGATCTTCTATCCTGCTAAGACTGTTTTAAGATCTACAGTATGTGCCACAAGGACATAATGACTTTCCCTGGGATTACCAGCTGGCTAAGCCATGCACCAAATCTCTTATTTCCTCTTGCAGCTGGATCAAGTAGTAAAAGGTGCTCAAGTATAGCAGCCAAGAGTTAACAATAGTCCCGTCTCACTAGACTGACTCAAAGCCGCAAGAAAATAGGCAAATTTTTAGTTGCGGTCTCAATTCAGTTCGCTTTATTTATATACAGTAGTGCTGAGTATCAACAGAAGTCGTCCCAGGGCTCTGTACAAAAACAGTCACATACAATATCAAAGCTAATTAGTAAAAGTTCTCTATCTAAGGAAGCAGAGTGTTTTGAATCTTCACTTTGTCTCAGTCTCATCCTGAGCAAGCACAAAGGAGACGGTGGAAAAGAAAAACTTGCATTTACTGTAACAGGAAGAAACGTCCAACACATATGTGTCAAACTCAAGGCCCGGGGGCCACATGTGGCCCTCGTTGACGTCTTATCTAGCCCCTATGATGTTTTTTTTAATATAAAATACTTTTATCGCTGTAATTTTTTTCAGTAATCTTTGATTATAATGTCAAAAGTGCAACAGACAGTGTCAAACAAGACCAATCAAACTTTTGTTGAGGAACCTGCAACCAAGAAAAGATGTTGTGTATCTAACTTGATTTAATACAGATTCTGAAACAGCCCTTGGTTTGAAAAAGGTTTAATTTTGGCGCCTTTTGTGAGTTTGACAACCCTGCTCCAGCAGAACCAGGCTCAGGACGAGTGGCCATCTGCTTCGACCGGCTGGGTTGGAGAGGGCAGGAAGGAGGAACAGACACAGAATGACAGGTCCAGGTGAACTTTCTATAGGAGGAAAAACAAAAAAACCTCATGGTAAGGGTAAAAATAGTTACAAATACAATCAGGTAGAGTTCCGTAAGTAAAGACGGCAGCAGAGTGAAAAATGTGGTCAGTTTGTCCTCCAGCAGTCTAAGCCTATCGCAGCATAACTAAGGGATAGCTCAGGAAACCCAAACCCAACTATAGGATTTATTGAAGAAAAAAAAAAGGTTAAGCCTAACCTTACGTAAAACTGGACAATGTGTCAGCCTCACGGACAGAAACTGGAAGTTGGTTCCACAAGAGAGGAGCCTGAGAACTGAAAGATCTTCCTCCCATTCTGCTTTTGGAAACTTGAAACCACAAGTAAACCTGCAGTCTGAGAATGAAGTGCTCTGTTAGGAAAATATGGAATAATAAGATCTGTAATATAAGATGGAGCTAGGTTGTTGAGAGCTTTGTAGGTTAGAAGTAAGATTGTGACATCAGTTCTGGATTTGACAGGGAGCCAATGGAGAGAAGCTAAAGCTACCAACCCTCATTCATGTTATGGTGTCATGTTGACCATGTTCATGATTTCAGTTTCCTGTTCAGGAGCCAGAACATGTTCCCGTCCACATTGTGTTGACAATGTTTCAGTTTTACAATACAAATAGTAAACTATACTGTGTAGGAATATGTTTCCCAAATACTTGAAACATACTTTATTTTTACAATCCTACAGAACAGTCCACAGGCAGTACTGTACTCATTGAGTACAGTATTGATATGCAGTACTGCAGTTTTTTTTATTGAACATAGATTTCTTATCTATTCTCATTTCAGTGTACCTGCTCAAATTTGTCTGTACTCTTTGTCCAGCCTCCATCATTGTTAGACCATGGCTGAGCACATGGTCAACCAAAGGGGCTCGGGTCTCTTCAGCGATTGCAGTATAGTCCTTGGCCTTCTTTGTCTTCATCCTCCTCTTACTCTCACTCCTCAGGCTCTGCCTCTGTTTCCAGTGTTGGTGTCCGTTGCTCTAAAACAGAACACACCTGTTTGTTGCCCTTTTGTGCTAAAGCTCTGATTGCTAATTGTAAAACTGTGTGACGGGTGTTTCCCATGTAGGGCAATTAATTTTAGCATTTTGAATAACATTGTGTTCTTTGTGGAAACAAGAGATTTCCTTCGTGAAAATTGTGCCAAATGTTGAAAATTGTGTGTAGTGTTTTGAAAAAAGTGTGTTTTAGAACTGCAGTTTGAGAGTAAAGCAGGAAATGTGCTTGTAGTTGAACAGAACTGATTCAGGGCGTTGATGCAGGAGGTAAATGTTGTGGTCATCGTGTCTCAAGTACCAGAATTTTTGCATGAACAATTGAGAAAAACTGTAATGTAGAACATGGAGACACAGAATGTATGTTAGTATATCCAATGAAGATAAGTCATCCAAAAGACTTCATCAGTCTGAGGAGTCTTCACTTGAAGACGCCTCCTGAATGTCTCTGACTCGACAGGAGTAAAATAAACTAAATGAAAAACATCAATAAAATGAAATTGAAATGTTTATTTTTCTTAGGATTTACAGACAATATTGTGACAACAAATATCTGCCAACGTGACCTATTAGCCTCACTTGAAAACCTGGACAACAGCAGCAGATGACACTTAATCACTACACGACTGTGGCTGAGTGGTTAGAGCAGCCAGTGCAAGAGTTGGGGGTTCGATTCCACCAGCAGTCACATGCCTGAGTGTCCCTGGGCAAGACACTGAACCCCTCATTGCCTCTGATGTGTGTCCCATCAGTGTATGGATGTGATAAAGCTCTGGTTATTCTTTGCATAGATCTAGTATAGAGCTGTATGAATGGGTACATGAAGCACAGATTGTTGTAAAGAGCTTTGAGTGTCTCAGTAACATAGAAAGGAGTTATATGATAACATCTTGTTTTGCCTAAAACCTAAATATTGAACATGTGTTGGAAACAAACCTGTAATGTGTTGGAGCAAATGAAAATATTTCCCAGTACGTATCAATAAAGCACAAACAGCCGTATTACAGGAAACAGATCATTTTTATGCATCAACTAGTCTTTATTTTTACTTCTTCCTCTTCGGGTTGTGAGGGTCGCTAGTGCTCACATCCTGAAGTCACTGTGAGAGAGGAGGGGGACACCCTAGACAGGTCTCCAGTCCATCACAGGGACACCCTGGACAGGTCTCCAGTCCATCACAGGGACACCCTGGACAGGTCTCCAGTCCATCACAGGGACACCCTGGACAGGTCTCCAGTCCATCACAGGGACGCACAGAGACAAACAACCATTCACTCTCTCACTCACCTAGGGACAGTTTAGAGTTACCAGTCAGCCTAACATGCATGTTTTTGGTCTGTGGGAGGAAACTGGAGTACCTGGAGAAAACCCACACATGCACGGAGAGAACATGCAAACTCCATCCAGAAAGGCCAAGAGGCAAATCTGTGACCTGTGTGACAACAGTTCTAATAATAACTGTACAACTGTGCCGTTCCAATGACAAGCTAATTTTTTAAATAAATTAGAGGTTATTAGCTTCTGCTGTCCTCTGTGTACGATTCTAACACTGATTTTTGTAGCTTGTTGTCAACAGCTGCTTTAAAACAGCACAACCTTCTAAAGTGAAACAAGTGATGCACATCAGAAGTTTTTGTTGTTTTAACTAAATTAGCTCAGTATTCTGCTCTGGTCACATGGCATCTTTGCTACATTTCCTCTGTACAGGTGATGGTGTCCCAAAGGAAAACAGTCCCTTCATCAACAACACAGAACATGACAAAGGCAACAGCTACGATGGCACCAACATGGCACTTTTTGAGGTAACTGTGAACTAGTGATGGGAACAGCCGTTCTTTTGAGTGTACTGAATTCCTAGAATCTGTTCGTTACAATAATTTGTTCAAAAGATTTGTTCATTGAATCCTTCAGTTCATACAGTTTTTTGTGGGGTACACAAGTGAGTGACACAGCGCCACTTCCAGTACAGTACTACATGAATGAATCACTCAGCGGCAGTTCTCTGTGTTTGCACGTGCGCATGTCAGCAGTACGTTCACTGAATGAATCTCTCCCCTGCTCTCTCTGACAGACTCCCCCCTCTAATGTCCCTTTTCCACCACTCCTACTCAGCCCCACCTCTGCTCAGCTCACTATGGTTGGAACGTTATTCCACCAGTACTTTTTAGCTGATTTGGCCCCTTTTGTTGCCCCTGCTTCTCTGGTGGGACCGTTGGAGCTGAGCCGGCACATAAACGTGACGTCAGAACACTGTCGGTCACTGATTGGTCAGGGGGAGGAGTCACTGGATCTCAGAAACTTTTCATCGATCCTCCATTTGTAATTACTCAGAACTCGGAGCAGCGGCTGAATTTATTTTTAAAGATTTTACAAACAATAATGACAACAACGTGTTTAATGCCGAAGTCCAGGCGTTTTTTTGTGTTTGGTGACCGACGACAACATTCGAGCGAGCGGAGTCACCGCGGAGGATCACACGAGCTGCAGACCTGTTGAAACACGAGGCCGGACCCCGAGCCTCACGTGCTCACAAGGATCGGATTCTGAGCCCTGGAAGACGGGAGGACCAGGACGGAGGGTGGAAATGTTGTTTTCAAAATATTTTATGTTTAAAAAAAAATAAAGTTTTTTTTATACATTAAAAAAAACTTTATATTTTTTTTTATCTCTAGGGCTTTAACAGACTACTCGAGTAATCGGCAGGTCGATTCCTAGGACATCTATCGAGTTATTAAATTTCACGTCGAGTATTCGCAGTGACGTCATTACATGTCACGTGATCCGCAATGGGCTACTAGTAGAAGCTACCAACTGGATTCCTCCCAGCAGATGGACTGAGCGGAGCAGGTCCAGTCTTGGCAAACAGGTAGAAATGCATCAATAGTCTGGAAATATTTCAACTGTTTGGAGCTCGTTGTGAACCGGTGTTATACCATATTATGTGACCACCGTATATTGTGACCGTAGGGGACGGTGTTGCATGCACTGCTGCAGGTCACAGAATATGGTGTAACACCGGGTCCAATCGACCGAACCAGAACCAGCTTCCTCTGACCTTGTTTCACAAACTAAAAGCAACAAATATTAATCTCTAAACCTATTAAAAATCTATAAACATATTGATCTCTAAACCTAAACCTAATGCGGGGTGGTCATCCGCCCCGTTGTTTTTAGTTTTGTTTTTGACGTGCTGCACGTTTCTTCACTTTTGCAGCTTAATAATAAGAACTAATAGTTTAGTTTTTCCTGTGACTTATTTGCAGTTTGATAAATGGTAGGAGCATAATATACACTCCCAATGTTTTGTTGGTCTTTTTTTTTTTAATAATAAATTACATTTTTTTGCGGTTTTATTTTGTATTTATTTCATTTTGAGATCCTTTGACGTCATCAACTACTCAAGATTTATTATGTTAATGTCGAGTTTAAAAATTATGTAGTCGTTCAACCCCTAGTCTCTCAGGAATATTTCCCTCAAACATGTTTAAAGAAGAGAAACAGCCTTTAGTTCAACTTTATTCTAACACACAGATGTACAAATCACAAAATAAGAATTACACTTTAAATCACTAAAATTAAATCTGTATACAAGAAACTAAACCACATATCTCAATTGAACAATAAAAGTAGACACAATGAGTGCAAATACATTAAATGATGAAGAAAAATATAAAATTTTAAATATAGATGTTTTTATAGAATCTGGTTCATCAGATATAATTCATTTATATAACGCCAAGTCACAACAGAAGTCGTCTCAGGGCACTGAACAGAAACAATCAAATATAAAAATAATAATTTAACATTATTTATCTGAGAAGCAGACTGCTTTGAGTTTAACTCATCGCAGAACTCTCACTCGATGAACTAAAGTTCATTATAATTTCATTAGCAGGATTTTGGATTCAGGACACGCCTCCAGAACTGGTCCTGAAGTGCAGTGGAAATCAGGCTGATCTGAGCAGAGCTGAGTAGGAGCAGTGAAAAGGGGCATAAGTAACATATGATCACTAGTGAAACAACACCACTGCAGCAAGCGGCATGTTCACTAAACGTAGACATGAGTCCCCTGTTGTATTATTACTGGAGACCGTAAGAGAGCCTGGAAAGGGTCTTGCTCTTCTATAAACTTTAATGTGGCCCAAACCACAATGTGTAGCCCATCCATCCATCCATCCATCCATCCATCCATCCATCCATCCATCCATCCATCCATTATCTTTACCCGCTACTTTCTTTTCGGGCCGCAGGGCTCACTGGTGCCCATGTTCATGCACGTTGGGGGGGGTGGGGGGTGGGGGGGTCCTCTCACAGAACATTTTGAATAACAGAGATACCATTTCCTGCATTTTGGTGTATTTTAACAGGTTGTTATACATCAATATTTACATCAACATTTACTTACATTTGTTAACACTTAATAAAATTACTATTTTGGAGAGGAACAGCAGGTTTTGTGAGCAGCTCTGATTCTGTCAGGTGTCCTACCCCCCCCCCCCCCCTCCCCTCACTTCATGGTTCTGAGCTGAACTCTTCTCGGCTCCTGCTTCAGTCTCGTGGCACAGTTTGAAGCACCTGAAGGATTCAGTTCTCTGTTGTCCAACTAAGGACATCCATCCATCCATTTTTTATTAAAGTTAATTGGACTGTCTTTTTGTCATTTTGATCGCTGTTGTTATTTTGACAAATTAGCACCGTTGTTTAGAAACGTGACGTATAATGTGAATAACACATCAAACATTTCTATCTTTGCATTTTTATTTATTTTTTACAGTAAGCTTTTTGTATTTATTATGTCTGAATGTAGCAGGAGTTCAGACACCTGCAGATGTTGTGCACGCTGTGTAGAGCTGTCTGGAGACGTTTCTGTGCGTAACGTGCACTGTCCACAGGGCGTGTATTTATTCTGCTGAATAAATGATTGTTTCTGTTTCGGGGTCCGAGAGGAGGAGAGGGGGTGCTTTTCAGTGCACAGTCTCACTGAGTAAGGATAATATTTGGAGAGGAGGAGAAGAGCAGGATTGTGCACGGAACCTCCGTGCGTAAATATGACCATCTGTCCCTCCATCCCCCCCATCCCCATGCCCGCCTAGAGGCTCCTCTCCTGCTCCTCTAAGGAGCGTGGAGCTGGTGCGCTGTGTGTGCTGCGGCTGGAACATCCACTCCACAGGCTGGGTCCACCGGGCTAAAGGCAACGTCTCCTCTCGTTGTAATCTTAATAAATAATCAAAATAAAAATGCGCAATTACTTTGGACTTTTAGGGGCGGAGTTGCCGGATCTGAGCAAAGAGTTGCTGGAACAGAACAGGTCAAAATGAGAGAGTTCCTGGATCTTGTTCTGGCAGGATCCAGCTCAAATTAACCTCTGCTGTTAGCTTGAAAAAGCAGATACCATTGCCAATGGCGTGAAAGTGTGTCCCTGCGAGGAGAAAACAGAATCACTCAGGACAGAGTCAGAGAGTGTTTGGTTCACTGAGTGATACATGGAGTTTATTTGCAGTGAACGAATCACAAGTCACATTCGCTCAGGCGTCATCAACAGTTCGTCCCCGCCTGCACGGCACACGCTGCGTCGTTCAGATTCACGGCAAGAGTGAGTCACAGAACACGGAAGTTCCACTCCTGACCGGCACGCTCGCACTGAGCACACGCTCGCACATGCTCACCTGAACTGAGAGAGGAACAACTCAGTTAATTAAGTGATTCACTTCAGTTAGTTCACTCAAAAGATTTGTTCAATTGAGCGAATCGTTCGTGAACGACACAACACTGTGAACACCTTTTTTCCATTCTTCTGACCACTCATCTAGACACCACAGACACAACCGGAACGTTTATTTCTAATGAGCTTATTTATTTCAATTTCTTTCATCAACTGAAAATATCAATAGTTTTGTTGGATGTTCTTTTGTATTTAGGCAAAAAATAAAGGCAATGCAAGAGTGACACATTGTTCAGGTCATTTGCTGAGTTGGCGTGCTGCAGATGTTAAACATTTTATTTTATCTCCTGAAGGAAGAGATGGACAGCAATCCCATGGTTTCATCACTTCTCAATAAACTTGCAAACTACACCAACCTCTCCCAGGGCGCCCATGAACACGAGGAGGCTGATGAAGATGAGGGCCCAAAAAAGAAAGCTGTTAAGGTAAAAGCCAAGTTTTTAAATTTTTAACTGGAGTTTTAAAGATTTGCTTAAATGTGTTACATATAGGAATCTTTACATTTGGATAGTAACTGCTGTTCTACTAAATGTGCTGAACAGGCACGATATAACAAGGTCATTGAACTCTGGATCACCGTTGTTTTTATTCTTAAACCTTCTGGTTATGGACTTCATTATCCATGCTACAACTGTTGTTGTGCTTTTTGACTTTTAATGTTCCATCAAGTTTAATTTAAATGTTTAGTCACAAAGTAAATGGTAAATGGGCTGTACTTATATAGCGCCTTTCTATCCAGTCAAGATACTCAAAGCACTTTACAGCACAACCTGTGCCCTCATTTATCCATTCACACAACACTCTACTAGATCTATACAAAGCTTATCTGAAATGGAAAAGTGGAAATATGAATTAAAAAAAAAAAAATTATTTGAAACAATTAAGAGTAAATACTTAGAATCTGCAGTACTGTTTTTAATATACTACTGTACAGTAGTCCCTCGATACTTTACGGTTCAACTTTCACAGACTCACTCTTTCATGGGTTTTCAATGTAAGATTGTACACGACACACGATTGGCTGACTGATGGAAGGCGACCAACCAGATCATTGCGCTGTGGGGTGGGGTGGCCATTGGGAGCACCGGGACATTTCCCGTGGCCTGGCCCGCTCAGTGATTGCGAGAGGCCCCCTCCTTTCTCTTTTTGAGGCTGTCTATCACAGCAGAGCAAAGACACACAACGGGTGGGTGCAGAACTAGTTGTACAGACAGCCTCAGAAAGAGAAAGGAGGGGTCAGGGGGTCTGTCTTTCCCCATCGCTACTGTTCAGGGAGCTTCAGTGAGGCGGATACCTGAGTGAGTGGCATGGATTGTTTATTTAAAATAATCAAGCACGACCCGAACTGAGCCTTTGGTCCAGCTCAAAGTGGGTCAGGCCACCAGGAAATGTCCCTGTGCTCCCAGTGGCCGGTCTCCCACAGGCTCAGTAACCGTAACGTCAGTCTGTCTGCTCTCTTTTGCTGCGCTCTTTTAGAGCGCTTAGACAGTTTAGAACATTGCTGAGAACATTGCAAGAGTCGGGGAAGGATTTAAAAAGCCTTAAAATCCATCATCCATCCATCCATCCATTATCTTTACCCGTTTATTCCATTTTGGGTCACGGGGGTCGCTGGTGCCCATGTCCAGCAATCACTGTGCGAGGGGTGGGGTACACCCTGGACAGGTCTCCAGTCCATCACAGGGCCACATAGAGACAGACGAGACAAACAACCATTCACTCTCTCACTCACACCTAGGGACAATTTAGAGTAACCAATCAGCCTAACATGCATGTTTTTGGTCTGTGGGAGGAAACTGGAGTACCCGGAGAAAACCCACGCATGCACGGAGAGAACATACAAACTCCACCCAGAAGGCCCCTGGACCGGGGTTTGAACCAGGGACCTGTTCGCTGAGAGGCAGCAGCTCTACCAGTTGCGCCACCGTGCTGCCCAAGCCTTAAAATATATATACTAAAATAAATATAAAGTTTCTACTTTGCAGATTTTCCCCTATTGTGGGGGTTACATTCCAGACACCCCCCACGATAAGTGAGGGACTATTGTACTTGGCTTAAGTCTTTATTTTTAAGGAAGCTTTTTATAGCCTTCATCTGCACGTGAAATGTGATGGGGGATGACTCCGAATGTGTTTGAGCGCCTTTTTGTTGCCAAAATATGTCATTAACCACTGGTCAAGTTTTAATGAAACTTGCAGAAAGTAATCAGTGGGTATACAGTAACTCTACAGCTGGTTAACCTTAGGAGTCAGCCTGATTCAAGATGTCTGCTACAGCCAACTGACCTTCAAAACACAAAAAATGGGAGAAACTATCCATTTTACTGATACTCACCTAAACTCTGGTGTGGTTTTAGCTGAGTTGGTCACATCACATACTCTGAGCATGACATCCTGTAATATCACATGGTATTGTGCATAATTTAATGTTCAAATGTGACCAAATTGTAAATCATTCACTTTTCAACAAAACATATTCTTTATCTAAAACGTTGGTGTGAAAGGTGACGAGCGATCTCTAAGGAATGCTAATGATGTAATTGTCACTAAGGCTTTGATAGTTTCCCCATGCATCACATGGATATGTTTCTAGCCACAGCATCACAATATAAATAAATTATAAAAAAATACAATGTCACTTTCAGGAGTCATCAGTTGCTCCATTCTGCCTGTATTATGAAATTCTTTATCAAAAGGGTTCGTGAACGATCGGCACC